ACCCTTTTCCTTGCCTCATCTTCTGAGCTGACACCTGACTATTGGGGAAGCTTGCAAGGCAAGGCAGAAGTAGGCCCAGTCCCGAGCCTCTGGGAGACTCAGGCCTCAGGGCTGTGGCTTTGCCTGGCCCTGGACACGGTTCTGCCATCTTGACACAGTGCAGGCGCTCCGGTGCCGGGTTGCCCCCACCTTGGTGGGTCTGGGTGGGGTTTCCCTGTTTCCTCCCAACAGTGCCTGTGGCCTTGGGGAAGTTTTGTGGCATATTCATGACTCAGTGAGCAGGAGGGAATGGTCATGGCTCCACTGGCTGATGGGTGTCTGGGTCACTGGGGAGTTTCCAGAGTTGGTGGGGGGGCTTCCTGACATTCCTCCCTAGTCATGAAAGGGAAGCATCAGGTTGGGCCCTCTGACCCTGTTCTCGTAGAGGAAATGGGGCTCTGATCTGCAGGGCTGGGGTCTCCAACCATAGCCTACTCAGACACCTTCCTCCCTTCTTCCCGCCCTTTCTCCCTCCCATCTACCCACCACCCACCACCCACCACCCACCATCCACCGTCCACCCACCATCCACCCACCACCCACCATCCACCCACCATCCACCACCCACCATCCACCCACCATCCACCACCCACCATCCACCCACCACCCACCATCCACCACCCACCGTCCACCCACCATCCACCCACCACCCACCATCCAACCACCACCCATCATCCACCATCCACCACCCACCCACCATCCACCACCCACCATCCACCCACCATCCACCACCCACCGCCCACCCACCACCCACCATCCACCCACCACCCACCACCCACCATCCACCATCCACCATCCACCCACCATCCACCACCCACCATCCATCCATCCATCCATCCATCCAACCATCCATCTACTACCCACCACCCACCATCCATCTTCCACCCACCATTCATCTGTCATCCATCCATCAGTTCATCACCCATCCACCATCCATCCACCCATCAACTATCATCCGTCCACTGTCCATCTGCCATCCATCTATCCATCACCCATTCACTGTCCATTGTCCGCCATCCAACCACCATCTACCATCCACCACTCATCTATCATTCATCCACCACCCATCCACCACCCATCCACCACCCATCATCCATCCACCATCCATCCACATCCCTCTCCCACCCCGCCCCTGATCCACTAAGGACCCAGTGAGTCTTAGGGTACTGTAAGTGGCTGACACTCAAGTTCTCCTCCTCAGCTGAGATCCCTCAGGTTGATGGGTTTCAGAACACCAGCACCCTTTTCCTTGCCTCATCTTCTGAGCTGACACCTGACTATTGGGGAAGCTTGCAAGGCAAGGCAGAAGTAGGCCCAGTCCCGAGCCTCTGGGATGCAAAGGCCTCAGGGTTGATCCTGCAAGCAAGTCAGATTCTAAGCCTAAAAGGCCCCCACTAGCATGCCCTGGACAAGATTCTGGGGTAGTCAGACTTCCCTTTTAAATTACAAGGCGGGGAGCAAAGCATGGGCTGCCCACCCCAGTCCAGGGTTCCAGTAGTGAGGGGTTGCCCTCTGGGTAGGAGGGGGCTCAGATGTCCATGCACACCAACTCTGGGATAGGCAACTTGGGGTTCTGGGCCTTACCCGTGACCTTGAGCGGCTGGCATCTGGGGTCTCTTGTTTTCAAAATGAAATAAGGCTGCTGTGTTTTTGTAAAGCTGAAACAGGGTTATGGACGTATCAGGCATTCATGAAGAATAGCTCCCCGAGGGGCCCAGCCAGGTCTGGCCCAGGCCACCACAAGCAATCTGGTGCTTTGGCTGCGGAGGGTGGCCCCCTCCAGCCCAGGAGGCCTCGGGGGCGCTGGGCTCGGCCAGCTGTGTCAGCCACACAGGCAGTGGGGGGACAGCCCCCTGTCCTTCCTCCAGGGCTGTGAAGGGCGGCACAGCGCCCGGGGCCCAGAGCCCCGCACTCGGGCCGTTGGGCAGAGCTGTTACAGCTGCCACAAGGTGATGGCCACGTGGCACGGTGTGACTGTGGGGGAAGGTTTTAGGGACCCTGTGGAACTGAACACAAGTTCCACCTGCCTGATGCACAGCAGAGACATCGAGTTTGCAGCAAGAAAAGTGTTTATTCAAGAGGCAGCCAGAGGAGGAGACGCGGGTGGGGGGAAGAGGGGCGGGGGGCAAGCCTCACATCTGCCTCCTCAAAGGGGAGAGTCGGGGAAATCGGGGAAATGTGAAAGTGAAGGAAAAGGTCTGGGTGACAAGTTGCAGCTGGGATCAGTCCTATTAACGCTTCGGTTACCAGTTTCACCCAGCCCTCGACTTGCGCCCAGGAAGGGCGCCCCGCCTTTGCCGCGACGGAAGAGGTGGCCCGGCCGGGACCCCTGCAGCCTGCCCCGCACCACCGCCCTTCCCTACGTCCGCCTCTGCCCTCAAGGGCCCTCCTTGGGCAGGCCGCACTGCACGCATGGCTGGACGCCGGGGGCCCCGGGTACGGGGTTGGATGGAGTGTCTTAATTCTGGAGTAACAGCCTAGATGCTTCAGGGGCTGTGCCACCCAGGCACCCCATCCCGTGCCATCCTTAATGAGTCCTGGCCTCTCTTCCTGCGACACTTGGAACCTGGTCTCTGCCTCCATCGCCTTTAAATCTTGTAGTTAGTACTTTCGTCTCTTCAGGGGCCTTTTGTTCTGTGAAGTTGCTCTTCACTTTCAGGGGCTTTTCTTGGACATTTTGACATCTCCTCTCTGGCCTCTCCTGGGTCCTGCTCTGACCGCCGAACCACCAGCTTGCCCTTTGAGTTCGTGTATGATTTTCCCTCTCTTTCTGTGGTTCCTTGTGTGATTTCCTTCATGTTGATGTCTTAGTCTTTGGGGGTTTCACTTCTGCCATCAAACGTTCATTCCCGAGCTCATTGTGGCTCCTTACGGCGCCCCGTCCTTGCTCGGATGCACTTTTATCTCTCGGAGGAATTTCTTACTTACAAACAGAAAGCCACACCAACCTTACGTGCACGGCTTGACACACTTTCACACATGGTGACCCATGTCACCACCGTCCACGAGCAGAAGGCATTGCCCATCACAGACCTTCCTTCCAGCCCTTTGGAGGCAACGCCCATCCTGCCAGGGGACCCCTGTTTTGATCGCCATCCCTAGCAACTAATTCTCTTTTACAATTCGCTTCTTTGGCTCAGAACGTTTTTGAGATTCTCCAACAATGTAGATGACTCTGCACCCATTCCATTACACAAACATACCAGAATTTTTTGTCTATTCTGTGAGTGAACATTTAGCTTGTTTTTGGTTGTGAATGAGATGAAGCGGAACATGAATTGGACAGTTTTCTTGTGTTGGGCCTTCTGTGGGCACACACCCTCCACTCCCCTGGAAACACGTGTGATCAGAGGAGGAACTGCAGGGCACAGGTGAGCAAATGTTTACAAAGAAACTGCCGATGTTTTGCACAGCATCTTTACCATTTTGCACATTCCCCCAGCAACAGGAGTGTTCCAGTACGTGCCCATCCTCAGCCAACCCTTGGTAGGGGCCTATTTTGAATCATCCTCATGGGTGTGGAGTGCTGGTTCATTGGAGTCATTTTCATTTTTCTGACGACTAATGATGCTGAGCACCTTCTCATGTGCTCATTGGCCATTTGGATGCCTTCTTCAGCGAAAGGCCTGTTTAATTCCCATGTCCATTAGAACCCCGGGTTGGAGAATTTTGGGTCTGAGCCCTGTCTCAGACGCAGGCTTTGTGACCGCTCCTCATTCTCCTGTTGGTTGGTTTACTTTCTTAATGATACATCTTGACGAGAAGTTTCTGATTTTGAGGAGAAACCATCTTTGTTCCTCTATCATTGATGGTTGGAGCCTTCTGTGGCCTGTTTTAGATGTCTCTGTCTACCCTCTGGTCAGAAAGATGCTCTCCTGTTTTCTAGAAGCTTTACAATTTTAGCTTTCATGTGTAGGCCTATCAATCACTGTAAATTACTTTTTTTTTAAGATTTTATTTATTTATGTGAGAGAGAGAATGAGAGAGAGAGCATAAGGGGGAGGGTCAGAGGGAGAAGCAGACTCCCTGCTGAGGAGGGAGCCCGATGTGGGACTTGATCCTGGGACTCCAGGATCATGACCTGAGCCGAAGGCAGACTCCCAACCAACTGAGCCACCCAGGCGCCCTG